AAAATGACCCTTCTGACTGAAAATAGAAGCTTGTGTCAACAAATAGGAAAATAATCAATTGCAGCTTCTTAATGTAGTGGCATTGCACGAGTGAACTTTACATCTACAACAGGAACTAGGTACCTGAGCTATAGACGTAAAGCATTCAAGGAGAGGGAAGAGATCTTTGTCAGAGTTTGAAAGCTGCTGCCACTTTGTAATCAATGGAGGCATCAAGATTTCAAGATGTGAAGGCTGCAGATGTATAATAAATTGACATTAGTGATACATTTCATACAATGATGAACAAGGAAAATACATATAATTAAAAAAGAACGCAACCTCTTTTTAGCACACAAATAATAAAGAAACTTAATATAAAATGATGCTATCAACAAAACAATGTTTTAGTATATAATAAAACAAAAAAATATGCATAATAGTATACCTGATTTAATTCGCCTCCAACAGCATCTGCTAATGTTCCAAGAGCATCATATACAATTCTAAGGTTTCGCCTCTGCAAACAAAGACAATTATGAAAAAGAAGAAAGTGGAAAAGGTAGCAGAACAGACACAAACAGAGTACTAGGGCTATGTTTGGTAAAACTAGCTGATAAGCTAGCTTATAGCTTATTTGTAATTTTTTAGCTTATAGCTTATGACTTATAGCTGAAAAGTTAGCTTATATGATAAAAGTGTTTGGTAAAATTAGCTGATAAGCTACCTGAAATTAAAAAATCAACTAGCTTATTTGAAAAGCTACCTAAAGTAGCTTATGAGATAAGCTCGAGCTTTTTAAAAAAGCTCGACCTACCAAACGAGGCTTATTTGAATACATGGAGCTTATAAGCTAATCAAATAAGCTATAAGCTAGCTTATTTGGCTTACCAAACACAGCCTAGATCCTAAAAGTTTTGATGCTCTAACGAAAGACAAAGGAAAAAAACAGCGAAATAAAATGAGTTTAAGTCGACCTGATATTTCCCAAAGGCCCACATTAAGTGTTGCAAAATGACGTCCAGACGAGGTACCAACTGGTCTGCAGCTTCCTGCACATATAAAATGATTCGATTAACTGTAAGTATAATAAACCCTTTTCCTACAATTTCAGAGAGGGGAAGGAGATACCTCTTCCAGAGTGGCAAAAGCTGAGCAAGCAGCTTCTTGGACCTTCTTATTATCATCCAGTATTCTTCGCAGTAGCCCTGTTAGTATTTTGTCGAATTGATCATAACCTTCGTGATGAGCAGTGTCCTAGACCATGCAAACAAATACAAATTATCAAAAAACAGGTAACTGCGCGAGTTTTAAAAGTAACGTTAAGGTTGCTTTCAAATTTTAAATGGAACTAAGGAATTATGATATATTACCTGAACAATGTATCTGCTGAAACGTGACAGTGTCCAACAGGAGATGCTCCTTATCAGAGGAAACTTGTCATCCAAGAGTGGAATAAGGAAAGAAATAATCTACACAAGAGAACGTGATAAGCACTGATCTAGGTCAATCAACTATAAG